GGAAGACAAATACTGTTGCGGATGCCCTGTCTCGCTGTCAAGAGCCACCTGTTGCTGAGTTGAATGTGCTCTCCACCCCTCAGTTCTTGTTCATTGATGATTTGTGAAAAGAATTGAGTTTGGATGTTGACTATCAGACTAAGTGTCAGCAAGTTGCTGCTGACCCCTTTCTTGCTCCGGATTACACTGTTTCTAATGGGTTATTGTTGCACAAAGGGCGCATTTGGATCCCTTCTACATCTCGTTTCAAGGCCCTGCTGCTTAAGGAATTTCATGAAACTCCTATTGGAGGCCATGCAGGGGTTGTCAAGACTCTTAAGCGCCTTTCCGCTAATTTTTGTTGGCCTGCAATGCGCCAAGACATCAAACAGTTTGTGCGTGAATGTATCACTTGCCAACAGACTAAATACGTGACAAGTAAACCAGGAGGGCTACTCCAGCCACTGCCCATTCCGGTAAGTATTTGGGGAAGACATTTCCCTTGACTTTGTCACCGGGTTACCTGCTTCTAATGGGTTTACAGTTCTGCTAGTTGTGGTGGACCGTTTCTCCAAGTATGTGCACTTGGGAGCATTGCCCTCTAATTTCACTGCATATAAGGTGGCTGATTTATTTGTCAATATTGTTTGCAAATTACATGGGCTGCCTAGGAGCATTGTTTCGGATAGAGATTCGGTGTTTATTAGCAAATTTTGGACTGAGTTGTTTAAGTTCAGTGGCACTCTTCTTCGCATGAGTTCGTCTTACCATCCTCAAACGGATGGCCAAACGGAGGTTACCAATCGCACAATTGAGCAATATTTAAGGGCATTTGTTCACCATAAACCCTCTCTTTGGCATAGATTCCTTCCTTGGGCAGAACTGCACTATAATACCTCTTTCCATTTCGCTGTTGGCCTGACACCATATGAGGTGGTTTATGGTAAGCCACCCCCCTCTATTCCCTCTTACGTGGCTGGCACGTCTGATTTGGCTGCTTCCGATGAGTTGTTGAGCTCACGAGAAGCTATCCTAGACCTTCTTAAGAAGAATTTGACTAAAGCTCAGTTTACCATGAAGTCCATTGCAGATGGTAAACGTAGAGATGTTGTTTATGCAGTAGATTCCTGGGTATATGTCAAACTGCAGCCATATCGACAGATCTCTCTTTCGGGTCTCAAGTACAATAAGCTGCATAAGAGGTATTATGGTCCCTTTCGTGTGCTCGCTCGCATCGGACCCGTAGCTTATAAATTAGAGCTCCCTTCATATTTAAAGATTCACGATGTTTTCCATTGTTCGCTTTTGAAACCTCACGTTGGTCCACTACCTGCTGAGAGTGGACAGCTCCCTGCTGATTCTTTGGGGAATAACCCTATACTCACTCCTTTGGTTATCTTGGATAAAAGGATCATTATAGTTGATGGAAGTCCTCAACAACAAGTTCTGGTGCAATGGACTGGTTTAGCACCCGAGGAGGCATCATGGGAAGCTTGGCAGACTATGCAAGAAGTTTACAACCTTGAGGACAAGGTTGAATTTGAAGGGATGGGTATTGATACAGATATAACTCCTAGTGGTGGAATTAGTAATGAGCAGTCCACTGTTTTGCAGCCCAATATTGCTGAAGCTAGGCCCACTCGTACTAAGAGGATTCCTTCTAAGTACAATGACCATTTGCTTTATTAATGAATATTATATTTTCCTAGTTGCATTTTATTCCCTTATTTCTAGTATGCTTCTAGAAGGTTGTGACTCGGCCAAGTTTGTTAGGATTTGCTTAGCTGTGAGATCTCCCACTAGATTCTCTATTGCATTTCCTTTATATGCTGTAATTGCTCTTGAAGTGGATTATCAATGAAATACTGTTAAGAAAAAAACTCTCTTCTCTTTCTTTATACCTGCTTGAGGAGGTTTGCTCAGTCCTTAAAACTGAGCACTATCAAAATGCATGATCAAGAGGTATGTGAAGCAAAAAGGTGTTAACAAAAATTAGGTATTCCAACTAGTGGTGAAAGTGAAGTCCAAACAGTTGGTGCTTCCAAAGATACTGGCGGAGTCCGGCATGAGTATGATGTCAATCAAAATGGTACATATGCAAATGACTCAGAGTGTATGAACTTAAATAAAGTAAGGAGAGATGGGGACGAAGAGGAAGAATGTGCAGAAAATGGAAATCTAGCAGAGGTCGATGTAGAAGAGACTGATACTGGCGAGAAGAATCAAGATAAACAAATTGAGGAATTCAAAGAAAGAAGGAAAAAAAGAAAGATAGTTCTTAGTGAGAAGAGAAAATCATGTAGAAGGAAGAAACCTTTGGGCGTGGAAGCAATAGGCCGCAAAAATAGAACTAAAAAGAAGGTACACAATTGTAATATCCAGTCTGATTCTATGTCTGATAATATTCTGGGGGTGAGGTAAAATCCTGGGTAAATGCTCATGGTGAGACAAAGAAAGTGTCATAAGGCATATGGGAATATGGTAAGGATATTGGGGTGCACAGTAATGGGGAGGATGAAGATGTTGTGGAAAACATAGAAGCCATTGAAGAAAGAGAAAAGAATCTGGCAAGAAAAAATGGAGGAGGGAATAGAAGAAGGGAAGAAGAGGTTGTGGAAAGACTTAAGTGACGTAGTTAAAACTAAACTAGGGGCAAGATGGTGCATTTTTGGTGACTTCAATTCAATTCGAACAAAATCTAAAAGGAATGGGATATGAGCTTTCCAAAGAAGAAGAGAAATGAGTGAATTCGATCATTTTATTTCGAAAACGGATCTTGTGGACCTTCCTTTAAAGGGTAGACGTTTCACTTGGTCTAACCTGGAAGGGACTTCCAGGAGCCGAATCAATAGATTTTTATTATCTAAAAACTGGATTCTTAAGTGGCCGGATATTTCACAAAAATGCTTGGAGAAAAGCCTGTCAGATCACGGTCCTATTGTGATAACCGAGAAAGAGGTGAATTGGGGTCCAAAACCGTTCTGTTTCTTCAAGTATTGGAGGGATTTAGATGGATAGATAAGTTTGTTGAGAGAACATGGAAATCTCTAGAGGTTCAAGGGTGGGGGGATATGTTCTAAAAGAAAAAATAAAATTGTTCAAAGATCAAATCAAGGAATGGAGCAAGAAGCATATGTAAAATCTAGATAAACAAATTGAAGAAGTGAGATCGAAAGTGAATGAAATGAAGTTAAAAAGTGAAAGTGCAGATCTATCTTCTAAAGAGGTAATAACAAAGATAGAGGCTTCGGCTCGGTTATTTGAATTGTCAAGAATGAAGACAAGTATGATGTGGCAAAAGGCTAATCTGAGATGGCTTAAAGAGGGAGACGCGAATTCAAAATTCTTCCATAGATGTGTCCAACAGGAGGAAATTTAATGAGATAAGTTGCATTGGAAATGAGAGTGCAAAATTAACAAGTGTTCAAGACATAAAGCAGGAGGTTTTTAACTACTTCTAAGAAGGTTTCAAGGGCAGAATGGGGAATAGGCCAATATTAAGAGATTTTGATTTTAAGAAAATAGGTGAAGAGGATAATGTCGTCCTTGTAGAAGAATTATCAGAGGAAGAAATTAAAAAGTCGGTTTGGGAATATGAGAGCTCGAAGAGCCCTGGTCTTGACGGGATGAACTTTGAATTTATAAAAGAGTTTTGGGAGGTGATAAAGGAGGATTTCATTCGTTTTATCTCAGAATTCCACTCAAATGGGAATTTGGTGAAGGGCTCCAACCGTCCCTTTATAACCATGATCCCTAAAGTGGAAAATTCGGTGAAGTTGAAAGAGTTCAGACTGATAACGCTAATTGGATGTATGTATAAGGTATTAGCAAAGCTACTTACAAATAGGCTGAAAATAGTTATGCACAAGGTTATATCTAAATCCCAGTTTTCTTTTTTGGAAGGGCGACAAATTGGAGACGGTAATCTTATTACAAACAAGCTGGTAGATGAAGCTAAGAGAAAGAAAAGGAAGTGATTTTATTTAAAAGTAGATTTTGAAAAGGCATATGATTCATTGGTTGGGGCTTTCTCGATTACATGTTGGAGAGGATAGGCTTTTGTCTAAAGTGGAGAAAATGAATACGTGAATGCCTTCAAACATCAATTGTATCAATACTGGTAAATAGAAGTACTACTAGAGTGTTCTCAATGGGAAGAGGTTTGAGACAAGGGGAACCCTAGTCTTAATTCCTATTCCTATTGGTGGCTGAAGACTTTAATCTCAGGATGGAAAAAGCATGTAGAAGAATTTGTTCGAGGGATACGAGTCTGGAAACGGGGAAGTTATTGTCTCTAATATCTAATACGCAAGTAATACAATCATAGTGGAAAAGAAAAGTTGAAGCAATGTGTGGGCAATTAAAGCCACATTGCAATTTTCCGAACTAGTGTCGGGGCTGAAGGTTAACTTTCACAAAAGCTCCTTAATTGGAGTAAGTATTAATGAGGAGTGGCTAGATGAGTCAACCTCTATTTTATACTGCAGAGTTGGGGAAACTCCATTCAAGTATCTAGGGATTTATGTTGGTGGGAACCATAGAAGATGAGGAATATGGCAGTCGGTGATTGATACAGTGAGACAGAGATTAGCGACTTGGAACAATAAAAACCTTTCAATTGGTGGCAGAATTATACTATTAAAATATGTGTTATTGGCACTACCGGTATATTACCTATCATTTTGCAAAGCTCCAAAAGGTATTATATGCAAACTCGAATCGTTATTTCAAAAAAATTTATGGGGAAGGGGGTTGGAGAGAAAGAAAGTCCAATGGGTGAAATGGGAAAAGATATGTAGAGATAAGGAAGATGGAGGGTTGGGAATTAAAGATTTGAAGGCGTTTAATCTAGATTTGGTTGGAAAGTGGAAGTGGAGGTTACTTGTTGAAAAGAAATCGCTTTGGGTCAAGGTGTTTCAGTGTAAATATGGGAGGAACGAAATTGGAGGAACAGACGAATTTAAGAGAGATGCTTTATTCTTTGTGGTAGAGGGATTTGCTAGAGTTGGATAAGGGTGAAGATGGTTACGGTAACAGCTGGTTTGATAACAACCTCTATAGGGAAGTGGGGGATGAGTTAGAAACGACAATTTTGGAAGATCTGTGGGCAGATGAAAGAAGTATGAAAAATATCTATCTGGGGACGTATACAAAGGCTGCGGATAAAAGTAACAGGTTGGGTGATTTGCACGAATCTGAAACAGGGGGTTAGTGTGGAGCAGCATATGAGACTAAAATCTTGATGAGCAGGGTAAGAAGGGTGGATATGAAAATGTGAATCAAAGGGTCGTGTTGAAGGATAATGTTAGGGATAAATGGAGTTGGCTGAAGGATGGATATCATGTTAAAGAGGCGTATTCTATGATCATGAAAGGAGTAAGCAATGAGGGTGAGGAGGATAGGAAGTTGACTGTAGCGTGGAACAATTTAGTCCCACTTAAAGTCTTGGTTCTGGTTTGGAGAATATGGCGGAACAAAATTCCGACGAGAGATAATCTAGTGAAAAGAGACATCTTAGTAGCATCTCAAAATTCATGCCCTCACAGCTGCGACGTAGAGGAAAGTGTGTCGCACACTTTCTTCGAATGTTCGATAGCTCAGGCTGCATGGAGCGAGGTCCTAAGGTGCCTCGATATCACCTTTGTTTCTCATAATTCGGCTATACAGAATTTCATGCATTTTACAGAGATTAGCAATGGAGGAATAATTCAACAAGACAAATTTGTGGTCGTTTGGTTCACAAGCATTTAGATCATATGGAATAAGAGAAATGAGAAGATCTTTCGGAAAGAGGACAACAACAACAGAAGCATTATGGAAGATATTCAAGATATTTCGTGGCAATGGCTTAAGATCAACATTGACGAGTTCAATTATGGAATTCATCAATGGATGACGAATCCTAAAGAATGTCTTGGTAGAAGAAATTTTCAGCACGCATTTTGTGGTTCGTGCTGCTGTCTCGACTGGTGGTCAGCAATGGGAGGGGTGTTCCGATAAGTTTGGATAGGCAAGTGGAATCTTGCAAGTATGGGAGGACAATTTTTCTTTAGCTTCTGAACTGGCTGTTGCTGTTAATGGTGGTTTCGACTAAAGAAGCTCCTTTTACTGCTATTATTCCTAAATTTTGTTGTCATTATCAGTTTGGTGATTGATTAAGGGTGTTCAATCTTCTGTTATAGAATTGGATAGGAGTGTGGTTGTCTCTTCAATTTTTTCCATTGTATGTCTTGGACTTGTGGATTGAACTGAAAACTCTTTGTCTTGTATATGTACCTCCACTGATTTGGCATCACTTATGTTTATATAATTTGGTTTTAATACAAGTATTTCTTTGCATTTCAAAAAAAAAACGGTGGAGGGGAGACACGCTCCCATGCGATGCTCCAAAGAGGATGTCCACTTGTACAGTTAGTGGAGAGATTGAGAAAGTAGATTGTTGAAAAGTCTTAAAAGAGATGAAACTTTGTTGTGGCGTTGAGTGGGAGTACAGTACATATCTCTATTTCTAAAAAATTAATTTGAGAATTTTTGAAATAAACTTGAAAAAAAATTCAAAAGGACTGAATTGATAGAAACTTTATTTCTAAATTTCATTTAAAAAATATTTAATTTGTGTTATCCAACTCAATATTAATCATAGATTCATAGTCAACTTTCTTAATCCATCTTATAACTTAACAATCACATTAGTAAGTTAACTGCTACGTCAAACCAACCAAAATGTTATTAACACAATACATTAATGGTAAAAGAATGTATTTGGTCTAATTTATACTAAATTAAAATTTGGAAAGAGAAAAAAAAATCTCTAATTACCATTTTGAAATGCAGATGGAAACACTAACAGATGACTCTCTAATATATTAGCCCTATTTTTTGTGAATTTTTACGCAGACATTACTAGAAATTTTTTCAATTTTTAGTTTTTAATGGTGCAAAGTCATCATGCTAGGTATCCCAAAATTTTAAATTTGCACCTCTTCAACTATGTGACCTTACAAAATAGGTTTAATCTTACAAAATAGGTTTAAATAAAGCGGACGTGTCTGTTTGCAAACTTTTTTTAAAAAATAGCATATATATTCTTTGATTAGGAAGTTCTATCAAAATAATTAACTAATTTTACAAAGAATTATGTTAATCTTTAAAAATAAAATTGTTTTAACACTCATTTCAGAACTTAGAAAGTGAAGTCTTATCTCAAGAAGCATCTAATTCTGAAAACTACAAAGAAAACTGCTCCGCCGCTTTATCACACATTCTGTCTGTTACAGTGGATAAGACACAGTTAAGAATCTGTCTGCAATTTCATGTCGGGGTTTAATTGCAACCAACACACCACTCTGCTTATATCACAAACATCCACCTGCCCACCTATCCGTTTTTGTTATGTTGGTGAAATGTCTCTATCGCTTACCTCGTACCTTATCATTCACAAACATTACCGATAGATCCTTTTAACCAATAAATACAAATTTTATTTTTTTCTTTCTAAATAAACAAAATTGATAACTATCATCAAACCCGAAAATGTAAATTCACAACTATACATATCTGCACCAAGAATATGTCAGCAACTTGAGGTCACTATCTATGCAGTAATTTCTAATTTGCATCTTTTACTCGAGAATTTCCTTCGTTTACCAGTAACATTTATCTTCACTTCCGAATAATTTCATCCAAAATAAGGTCATCTTCTAGGCAACTGAACCAAGCATACTCTTCTCAGCCTCATCGGCATTTAGAGAAAATATATCAACTGGTGCAGTTGTATATCCAACAGCAGTTGGCTTAGATCCACCACTAGAAGCGCCTGCTTGTTGATTAAGATAGATTACAATAACAGTGATATCGTCATGGAAGTGTCTTCTTATTCCTTTGTCGATTTTCTTTATGTCAGCATATCTCATCTCTCTTTTCTTTGCCGCTTCCTGGAGAGCAGCTCTTACTAGTCTCTTGGCAATTCCCTGCAGGCATCAAAAACACAAAGAAAAAACCATGTAAACAAATTGAAACTCTGATGTTCCTCGCAGCTCAGAAGTAATAACAGAAGACACTCACCGCTCTTGGATATTTGAAAACAAGATCAACCGCTGCTTCATCGCTTAATTGTTCCCAAAGGCCATCTGATGCAAATATTAAGAATAAATCATCTGACTCAAGCTCCCTAATAATGATTGATGGCTCAGCTGTCATTACTGGACGCTTCAAAGGAATGGGGTTTACAAATTGCCGAAAAATGGGGTCTCGGTAGAAATCTGGTCTCTTCAAATAAACATCACCAATAGATCTAGACACCTGCGACACAAAAAAAAAACTGTTTAGGCAAATCAAAAGATCAAGAGAGACTAGGGCATCTAAGTCCTTGGTTATAAACAATTACACATGACATGTGGAATTCTATTACACTTCGTAATGGAAATACATCGTCATCTTCGTAATGAACACAAAAAAGCATGTAATGAATCATTGAAAAAAAACATATAAAATAGATGAACAGGTTTTACTAGACAACGTAATTTCAAAAAACAGTATTAAAAGGGCTTGAAACAATTACAATCAGACATATATAGCATGTTTGAATTGGCTTTTGGAAAACCCTGAATCAATTCTAGACGTGTAGAATTGATTCTGGGTGATTTTGAGGTATTGTAGAATTGATTCTGAGTGATTTTGAGGTATTTGGTTTATCAAAAGTAGAATTAACTCTACTTGAAGCTAGGATTTGTAATCCAGAATTGATTCTGAGTGATACTTTTACATAAACGTATCTACTAGAATTAATTTTGTTCACCGTCAATCCAAACACACCTGTAATGTTATTGCTATATGTCTAAATATTCAATAGAGTTTAAAAGTGACCAAAGATTTGTAAATAAAAGATAACTGTATATATTATGTATGTATACCTGAATGATGCCCTTAATCCTCCAAACGCCGCGGCTATAAACCACAATATGTGAATCATCCGGGTGTAAAGCTTCAACTTCTCTCCTCACCTCCTCATCCGCTACATTATGATCCGTCGACAAGCGCACGGCCTCTACCGAACCACTCTTATTCTCAGTATACTTCCTGCCAAGAACAACTCTAGAGTCTCCAAGGTTGGCAACATATAACACATTATTAGAAATTGCACCAAGAAGACAACATGATCCCACAGACGCAATCTGAGGACTAAGCGGCAAAGACGACTTAACCAAATGCAAGAAATCCTCCTCGGTAGCACTAAACGCCTTCTTTATCACATCAACCGATAATCCCCCTTGCTCAGATGCAAATTCTACAAAACAAAATCACAAACAAGTTAACCACATAGCAAACAACAACAAACAATACAAAACATAGATTATGTACTATAGTTATAGTTATAAACATCTGTAGCAACACAAAAAAAGTTTGATTTTTTGTTTTCAAATTATTTCAGGCGAGGTCAGTGCGTGGTCACGACATCGGTACTTGCAGCATAGAACTGATCAATGAGTTGAAAACAGTTGATAAACTTACTACTATTCCTTAGAGTCATCATCATCATCACAATCTCGATCAAATTTCAAAATTAATAGATAAATATTAATGATAAGTCTAATTAATGCAAAAAAAAAAAAAAACCTAGTAAAGCAAATGGAAGTGACCTACTGTGCAAATAAGGGAATAGACGATTATTGACGAATCTGGACGCTTCAGGACCACCATGACCGTCGTAAACACCGACGTATGTGGCGGAAGGGGAGGTAAAGACTTGACTCTGATCCTCAAGGGAGTAATTAGCCTGAGCAACGGCTATGGAGAAATCACCAGAAGCGTGAGGTTTCAAGTCGGTGTGCCAGAGAAGAAAATCAGAGGCACCACGACGTCTGAAGCAATAATCGAGAGGGCTGAAGCACAAACGCAGCATGATCTATGGAATTGTGATAGGAATTGGGGATGAGAATTTATAGATGATGTTGATAATTGAAGTTAGGTATGTGTTGGAATCGGAGAATGAAATGAAAAGGCAGTGACGAATGCCGCGTTTGGAGGGGGAAGACGGACCCCTCAATCGAAGATATGCTCCCTCTTTCTTAATAACGCGTTTTTATTATTAGTCGTCCAAATTATTGTATACTAATACTCTCATGGAAATAGCCTCCGCCGAGTTTAATCTATAATATATCATAAACTTATTTTTACGTTTGAGTATCATCTTTAACTTAAATAATAAACTAAAATTTCATGAAAGTAAAAGTTTATTTACATTAATTTATTTTAACTTATTAATTAATGTAAATTTTGTGAGACTAATTATTTAAAACAATCTGTGAAAATAATTTATAATATTTTTTATAAAGTATTTTCATCTTATTTTTATAAATTTTTTAAAATAATCAAATTTTATTTATTTATTTTGATTTAAAATACAAAACATAATATAATAATAATAAATAAAAAATTATTCATATTTATTTATATAGGTCGATTTATTAGATTTAAAAGGTTTTTTTTATAGTCTGAGATCTAATTTTTTTAATTAAATAAACTTATAAAAAAAATCTAGACCTAATATGAGTTTATGTAGGTTTACTCGTAGCCTGAGTTTATATAGATTAAATTGTAGATCTCTGCTATTGACTTGACTTATTTTTATCTCTACTCACAACTCATTAACTATGTCGCGACCTGTAAAAAAGCACTATGAAAATTGAGAAAAATAATAATGTAATAAAAATTACAAATAAAACATTAATCTTTTTTATAATTTCACCAAGTTTGATAAAGATTAAGAGAAAATGGTTGATACGCTGACAGTGTAATATAATTTTACAGTATCAATCAATCACACATATATATTCAATTAAATTACTTTTTTATTTTAAATTTTTTTAATGATATGACATAATATTTATTTTTTATTTGATAAATAATATAAAATTATTTTACAATCTGAATACATTATCTTTTAATTTTAAAATTAAAATGTGTCAAAAAAAAAAGAGTAAGATTAAAACAAACGTTTA